TGTTTCTTTCCCAACAGGGTCCACTTGGCTTAGATGGCAAACCAGTGAGTATTCTCAGCCAAATTTGTCAAGTATGCCCAAAATGAAAGAAACAAGTTTGATTTTTAACTCTGTTTTCTTTCCTCTCAGGGTCCACCAGGTCTGAAGGGAAGCCAGGTACACCGTCACACGCCTCTTATTCTTACTTTCTTATTTAATTTAATTTATTCAGTTCTTATTTAAAGATTTTTCCTATTATAAATCCAGCTGGACTCTGCATTTGTCCTGTAAGACCGGTGAGAGTTTGCTATACCTCATCAATCATTTTTACTCGCCCTGAGGAGTCACTGCAAGTGCGTGAAAAACCCGGTAGCCATCTTACTTCCTGTTCCACCTCTTAAGTCATCCCAATTGGCTCACAGCCACGGGGGTAGTCTGGGCTCAGCTGAGCTGAGTGTTGAAATCCCCTTTGCACTCCCATCCATCAACTCGCGCCTGAAATGCTGGTGCACTCAGAGGCACGCCCAGGTGCAGCGTGGAAACAGGTGAAGCAGAGCGAATGGGTTACACACCATTTGGGAAAGTAAGAAAGAGATTAGTTTATAACCTTCAAACAGAGACTCTTTAAAAAGTCATTATTGTGCCCCCTCCGCCCCTCCTTCAGCACATCGCAGCGCTCACCCACAAGAGGCATAAGTCATCAGCTGAAATGTAAACCCCCTCGCAGCATAATGAGAGCTGTTCCTCTCCAAACACCATTAAGCTGTTCCTGTTCCTGTGAAAGGAGTCCTGAGGCTGGGTGTATCCTTTAATAGGTTTCTCCCCATCAACAAGGGTCTGGCATAAAACCCTCAAAAGGCGTGACTCATGACCAGAGTCGCCTGCAAACCCAAAGGGTGGGGGCATGAAAACAACATAATAAAGGGGGAAAACATGTAGCACATTTTTCATCTTTGAGGGACTTCTGTTTCCAAAATTAATAATGAGGTTTTTATGAGCTGGCATTTGGGGTTTTTTTTCTTTTTGAATCAATTGGAAAACTAAAGATTTTTTTTTAAATCATTTCCCCTTTTAAAATGCCATTCCTGCACATAAAATACACAATAAATGAAATTAAACCAGATGGGAAATCAGTTTATTGAAATTCAACTGGTTTTTTTTGTTGTTGTGTTTTAGAATGAGGAAGTTGACTGTAAAGTTAGTCTTGTTTGAACAATTTGTGGCTTGGCTCTGAGTTAAAGGCTTTCTTCCGCTCGCTCTTTGAGCAAAAGAGCGAGCAGCACTGGAGGTAA